AATAAAACCTGGCAATGGCTAAGAGCAGGAAAATTGAAGAAAGAGACCGAGGGACTAATTCTGGCTGCAAAAGACCAAGCCTTAAGGACAAATGCATACAAAGTCAAAATTGAGAAGACAGCAACAGACATTAAGTGCCGCCTATGCAAAGAAGCTGAAGAAACAGTGGACCACTTGGTAAGCTGTTGCAAGAAGATTGCACAGACTGATTATAAGCAGCGGCATGACAAAGTATCAACAATGGTGCATTGGAAGATCTGCAAAAAATATCATTTGCCTGTAAGCAAAAACTGGTGGGATCATAAATAGAGAAAGTCATAGAAAATGATAAAATTAAACTGCTCTGGGACTTCAGAATTCAAACAGACAAGCACCTGCAACATAACACCCCAGACTTAACAATTGTCGATAAGAAAGACAAAAAAGTCTGGATAGTGGACGTTGCAGTGCCTGGAGATAGCAGAATAGAAGAGAAAGAACTGGAGAAGATAACAAAATACAAAGACCTACAAATAGAAATAGAAAGACTGTGGAAAAAGCAAGCAAGGGTAGTACCAATAGTCATAGGCTCCTTGGGTGCAATCCCAAAACAACTGGAGCACCACTTGAACACCATTGGCATTGACTAATTGCCATTGAGTCCAATTGCAAAAGGCGGCTTACTAGGAACTGCTTCCTATCCTGCGACGATAACCTGTACTACCATCCAATCATAATAATAATAATAATAATAATAATAATAATAATAATACTAATAATAATAACCCCCAGTGAGGCACTACCTTGACGTGGTTGTGGGGCTTGTGTACTCTGAGGAAGATGAGAGCTATGCCAGAGGTTCAACCATACTGGACAGGTCTCATCAGAGGAGTCAGACAAAGAGTGTCTCTCCCATAAAAAATATGGTGAGACGTAAATTTCAGAATGCCATACCGGCTCAGATGTCGCCCGCGTTAACAAGGTCCACGCTAGATATTGAAGTTCCTGGATATCTGGTGAAAAATGGGTTACAGTACTCAGGACTGTTGGTTGAGCAACCAGGGCCCGCAAGCTGCGCCAGCTACTGGAAGAAAAGGTGTTTTACCCTCGCAGATACACAGTTGATGGAAAACAAAGAAATAATGATCTGTTACTACAGATCAAGTCCAACAAGAAGAGGATATCTAAAACGAATGCACCAGTTCTGGAAAGAACAACATCCAGAATCAGAAAAAACAGAACAGAGACTAGCAGATCAACGCCGATTTATAACACGAAATAAAATATTCACAGAAACAGAATTGGACGAACTGCAAAGGTTTACCAGGGCAAAGAAATCAAAGCCTTACCAGAAGTAATTCAGAATGTAGAGGCAAACCAGGGGGAGTTGGCAGTGAAGGAATCTAGCAGAGATATACAACTGTTCTCATTTGGAAACCAGGCACCTCTACCTCAGGAAGAACAAACCCCTCTAACTAAAGAAATAAAAGAATTGAAACAAAGAATAACTGAGCATCTAGAACAGCACAAAAACAACAGAATAAGGCTACCTGCATTGAAGCTTGTTCCAAAGAAACAGCTGGCACAAGCATTAAAAGATGCAAATATTGCAATATCAAGATAAGGCACCCAATTCATTGAAAGAAAAAACCAACTAAGTACAGCACTAGCTGAGTTATAACAGAATACCTGGGATGCAAACATCAACAAGAAGAAAAACAAAACAACCAGGTGCACCAGAAAAGGATAGTTTAGACTAGAAAATAGAACAGAAAGTTCAAGATCAATGCAAGCAAGTAGAAGATGAAAGAAAAGAAGCTGAATAACAAGAAGACAAAAGAATACCTAATCAAGAAATACCACTTAGAAACAAGGAAGATCAAGGAAGCACTGGAAATAATAAAGCAACAAATAACAGCTATAGCCAGGAAAATCAGTAGATATGAAGCTCGAATTGCAAACTATAGGCAGAACCTCCAATTTCAATCCAATCAGAACCGTTTCTACCAATCCATCAATGGAGAAACTGCAAGGAATCAGTCAGTACCTGACAAGGAAGAAACAGTGCAGTTCTGGAAGCAGATATGGGATAACCCAAAGAAATACAACAAGGATGCAGCTTGGTTAAAAGAGGTGGATGCAAATAAAACAGAAGTTGAAATGAAAGAACTAGTAAAAACAACAAAAATGGTAGAAAAAAGAGCAAAGAAAATCAAAAATTGGTCAGCACCAGGTGAAGATGAACTGCATGGGTTTTGGTTGAAACATCTAACTGTTATACACCCACTCATTGCCAAACAGTTCAACAATATACTTACAAGGAGGAGAAATCGTGAAAGTGGCGAACAATGGGAAAACCTACCTAATAATGAAAAATCCAGCAAAAGGGGCAAACCAGTAACTACAGGCCAATACCTGATTACCAACAACTTTCAAATTACTAACTGGTGTAGTAGCTGATGCAGTGCACTGCATCTAGCTGAAAAACATCTCTTTCCACCTGAGCAGCAGGAAACCGCCCCAACAGCAGGAAACAAAAAGATCAACTACCGAATAGACAAAATGATGCTTGGAAAACTGACAGAAGAGGAAGACCAACCTGAAGGGGCATGGATTGACTACAAAAGGCATTTGGACTCTCTGCACATGATTGATAATAAGTGCCTAGAAAATAAACAGGAGTCAGTAGAAACATCAGAAAATTTGTGCAAGATCGATGGCACAATGGAAGACACAGGTGCAAATCAATGGTGAGAAGCTGGGAGAGGTTAATATCAAGAAAGGAATATTTCAAAGAGATTCATTATCACCATTACTATTTGTTATTGCACTGTTTCCTCTGTCAACAATACTGAATAACTCAGGACATGGCTATCAAACATCAAAAACATCTGCTAGACTATCCCACCTCCTTTACATGGATTATCTGAAGCTGTATGGAAAAACATCATCTGAAATAGAATCGCTGCTCAACACTGTCCGTATATATAGCCAAGATATTGTAATGGAGTTTGGCTTGGACAATGTGCCACACTTACTATCAAACAAGGAAAAATAGTGAAAACTGAAGGAATCAAGATGCCCCACGAAAATAACATTAAGAGTCTGGATGAGGAAGAATACTACAAATACTTGGGTATCCTTCAAGCTGACAACATCAAGCACACTGAAGTCAAGAAAAAGATTAGAGGTGAATACATCAAGAGAGTGAAGAAGATCTTAAAATCCAAACTCAATGGAGGAAATAACATAAAGGCAATCAACACCTGGGCAATCCCAGTCATTAGGTACACAGCTGGAATAGTGGACTGGACTCAAGCAGAACTAAAAGCAATGGATAGGCAGACCAGAAAAATAATGACAATGAATCATGCCCTTAATCCACGCAGTGACATTGATAGACTTTATCTACCAAGGCAAATAGGTGGGCGTGGAATGCTACAAGTACATCAGATGGTTGAAGAAGAAAAAATGGCTTTGGAAGAATATCTGAAGAACAATGATGAAGATGCACTGAAATTAGCATATCAGGAAGGCTTACTAACTACTGGAGAGACCAAACTGGCCTACAAGAAAGACCAAATGAAGAACAGAATAGAGGCATGGGAAGACAAAGCACTAAATGGACCAATACATGAAAAAAAGAAGCTAGGGGAACGCAGATAAACAATTAAAACCCGGCAATGACGAAAGAGCAGGAAAATGAAGAAAAAGGAAAGAGACCGAGCGACCAATTTGGCTGCACAATGACCAAGCTTAAGGACAAATGCATACAAAGTCAAAATTGAGAAGACAGCAACAGACAGTAAGTGCCTTCTATGCAAAGAAGCTGAAGAAACAGTAGACCACTTGGTAAGCTGTTGCAAGAAGATTGCACAAACTGATTACAAGCAGCCGCATGACAAAGTAGCAACAATGGTGCATGGAAGATCTGCAAAAAATATCATTTGCCTGTAAGCAAAAACTGGTGGGATCATAAAATAGAGAAAGTCATAGAAAATGATAAAATTAAACTGCTCTGGGACTTCAGAATTCAAACAGACAAGCACCTGCAACATAAAAACCCAGACTTAACAATTGTCGATAAGAAAGACAAAAAAGTCTGGATAGCGGACGTGGCAGTGCCTGGAGATAGCAGAATAGACGAGAAAGAACTGGAGAAGATAACAAAATACAAAGACCTACAAATAGAAATAGAAAGACTGTGGCAAAAGCAAGCAAGGGTAGTACCAATAGTCATAGGCTCCTTGGGTGCAATCCCAAAACAACTGGAGCACCACTTGAACACAAGTGGCATTGACAAATTCGCTATTAGTCAATTGCAAAAGGCAGCCTTATTAGGAACTGCTTCCATCCTGCGACGATATCTGTAATACCATCAAACATCCACATCTGCCTATCCCAGGTCCTGGGTCAGGACTCGATAGGTAGACCAAATGCCAAATCCAGTCTGAAATATGGATGACTGGCGAATGATCGATAATAATAATAATAATAATAATAATAAAGTTGGAAGGGACCTTGGAGGTCATTGAGTCCAACCCCCTGCTCAGGCAGGAAACCCTGTACTATTTCAGACAAATGGCTGTCCAGTCTCTTCTTAAAAACTTCCAGTGTTGGAGCATTCACAGCTTCTGGAGGCAGGTTGTTCCATTGGTTAATTGTTCTGTCTCCTTAGTTCTAGGATGCTTCTCTCTTTGGTTAGTTTCCATCCATTGCTTCTTGTCCTGCCTTCAGGTGCCTTCAGGTACCAACATATATCTTCAAAAAAATAGAACAAAAAAAAAAAAAAGGAAAACTTTGCAAAATGTCCATAAGAGTTTATAGACCTTTATGTGTAGATCTTTAAAGACTTCCTTTAAATTGGTGCAATATATTATTTATATATTGACCTGTACTCACATATGCAATTTTGGCTGCAACATCGATCGATTGGTTTCATTTATCTGTCTCATTGGCAACACAGAAATTAGTCAGGGAACTTGGTCTAAGTCACCTTGTGTGATCTCATTTTCTCACAGAAAGTCATATTCTGGAGGATGTGAACAAGTGCATTATTGCCCTGAGAGAGCAGAATCCTGATGAACTGGACCGTGCAGCTGGTGCTATCCGTGGGAGAGCAGCGAGAGTGGCGGACATTGTCTCTGGTGAGATGGACAATTATGAGACAGGAGCCTACACTGAAGGAGTGATGAGAAATGTGCGCTATCTCTCAAATGCCGGTATGTATATATGCATTTTTTCTAGGCTATTAATTTCTGCTGTGTTTCCATGAAGGAATATAAGCAAGTTACCAAAAACTGAAATTATAGTTGACTCATATATTACAAAAGTTATTTAGGAATATTTGCCTCGATTTCTGTGTGCACTAGGGGAGACCTATGTTTTCTATGTTTGAGATCTGTCTCACATGTTCCTTACTTTATATAAAAATACATAAACGTGGCATTATTAGGACATTAATACTTCTCTCATATAAATACTTTGGCTGTGATTGGACAGTATTTGAGCATCGGATTTAGCAAGAATGCTGGATTTCTGCTTCAGTCTGTATTCTGGTGCAATGGGGTCTAATGTTGCTGTTTTAAAATAGTGGCACATAGAATCAAATTTCTACAATGTATGAGTGCACAAAAGTTAAAAGAGTGGGAGCTGGGAAGTCACTGGCTAAAATCTCATTTAGTAGGTGGCGATAACAGATCTACTTTATTCTCAGGCTGAGATTATATCTGTGAAGAAGTAATTTGAACATGTGAAATAGCTATTTAATATCATAGGAATCAGAACAAGCATTTTCATTTATTTATCTGCTTTTTATCCACCATTAATATTGTTATAAATAACTCAAGATGGAGAATGTGCGTAATACTCTTTCTTCCTCCTATTTTTTCCTACAAAAGGAACCCTGTGAAGTACGTTGGGCTGAGAAAGAGTGATTGGTTCCAAGTTACCCGGCTTTTCATGCTTAAAGTGGGACTAGAACTCACAGTCTCCTAGTTTCTAGGGCAGCAACTTCATCACTGTACCAAACTTTCTACCAGTAATGCCATTTTTTTTCAATGGTAGCACTGTACTTTTTTTGTTTTGGTGGGAGGTATCCCTTCAGATTCTCAGGCAGATGATTCCCTACTACACCTGTATCCAATCTGCTTAAATAGTGATGCCAAAGATTAAATTAGAAACATACCTCTTCATGTCAAGTGTCTAGTTTACTATTACACTAGAGTTCCTCTATCAAAAACTATGATTATTACTTGGTTTGTGTTAAAATGCAGCTGCTGGAATTTTAAAGAACACATTCCTCTTTCTCACTGCAAATATAATATAAGAGTCAAATGGGCCGTAGAGATATTCATTCAAATAATTTATTCCTCTTTATATCCTGAGGGATATACAAACATGTTCATTTCAATGTCTCCCATTTTGCCTTTCCCATTTTACCTCATTATGGTATCAGTTCATTATTTTTCAAAGGTTGGCATAACAATTTGTGCATATTTTCATATGCATTTTTCTAATGTGCATAATTTTACAATCAACTTCTCCCAGGAAGTACTATTCCTTGTTGTTTATATATCCCATTAAAATATTTATTTTATCCTAATAAAATATGTCCACACCAAAGGGCAATGGAAGCATGTCTTTTTCTCCTTTCCTGTGGAATAGATTCTCCCCTGGACATTGGAATGACCCTTCCTTTTGACATTCAGAATGTCTATGAAACCTCAATGTCTTCTAACTGGCCTTAGGAGTTAATGATATGGCTTTCAATGGAAAGTATTTTAATTATAGCTATATCAATGGTGATGTATTCCTGGATTTTCATAAATTTATGTGGAATCATTTTGCAATGTATGTATTTTGATGCACTTGGAATTTCAAACAACAACAACAACAACAACAACAACAACAAAAACTATCTGTCAGTATCTCCACAAACAAATATCCTTTGGAACAGTTGTCTTTAGTCCATCTACTTATAGTGATTGATTGATTGATTAATAATTTGTTCAAAATATCAACCTTCTTTCTATCCTGTTTCTTCAAAGTATAATAGGTTGTTCTTGTTAGTTTGGTCAGCTTTATATTTGATTTGACTTCTATTTTTCACTGTGCTCCTTGACGTTTTCACTAGAGGTTGCAGATGTTTTGCATATTCAGCTATCAGAATAGTGTCAACACAGTTTAGGTTACTGATATTTCTTCCTTCAGTTTCAAAACAATATTCATCTTCTTCCAATCCAGCTTTTTCTGTGACTGTTTTTTTTTGTATCTATTTCTTCCCGTGTCCTTACAGATACTGTTGTAGTCTTGCTTGTTGTCTCTTTAAACATTTCTCAGAAATTCTTTGTTGAGTTTCTTCCTGAAAGCTTTATCTTTCACAACATTAGGTTCTTGTCTCTTCTTGGCATTGCCACTATTTGTTCTGACATCCAGATTGCTATCTTCTGTTTCTTAATCCTTGACAATCTGATCTCACATTCCTCCTTAACAGAACTTATTTTAACTTCATTCCAGAGTTCTTCTAGTGTTGCTCAATGAGATTCAGGACTTCAAATTGATTCCTGATGTTTTTGAAAATGGTGGGTATGTTGTTGAAACTGGTTGTCCTTCTCCTGCTGCTGTAGCTCAGCATATGAACAGTTCATGATCTGTTTTACAGTTAGCCCCTGGCCACATCTTTGTTGTGATAACTAAGCTCCTCTACCTTTTTTAAACAATAATGCATTCAGTTGTACTCCAACTATTGATGTCTGTGTAAATGGGCATCATTTTGGTTGTTGAAAGACAATGATAGCTATGAAGAAAACATTGGAGTAGCAGCAATGGATAAATGATTCTCCTGCTTCATTTTGGCTTCTTAAGATATGTAATCCAAGCACATTTTCCTTTTTTATATTTCCACTTTAGAATGCCAAAGTCCTCAATCACAGGTAGCACATCTTACTTGCATCTTGACTTTAAATTGAACTTGATCATAAACCTCATTAGTTGCTTCTTCTTCTGTATGAAAAGTTGAAGCATAAATTTTAAGGACCGTCTTACTAAAGGGTTGTTCACAAAGCCCAATCAGTATTATTCATTGGTTCCATTGTGACCATGTACTGTTCTTCCTTGTCAGCCTTCCCAGGGAGACAAGACAGGAAACACAACCTGACGAACTAACTCTACTTTATTGTAAGACTACATCAGATTTGCAGATGACACAAAACTGGGGAGAAGTGCTAACACTTTGAAAGATAGGCTCAAGATTCAGAAGGATCTTGAAGATTTGAGCATTGGACCTTAGCCAACAAAACGCAGTTCAGTGGTGAGGAAAGTAAGGTCCTGCACTTAGTAGGAAAAACAAATGCACAGGGACAGACTAGGCAGTACCTGGCTCACCAGCAGTAATTGTGAGAGAGGGATCTAGGTATCCTAGTCAAACACCACTTAGGTATGAGCCAACAATGTGCTGAAACTGCCAAAAAAAGCCACGTACTCCTAGGATGCAACAGAGGGATAGCATCAGGATCACAAGAAGTAATGGTACCTCTTTATACCACAACTAGTAGGGCCGTATTTGGAATTCTGCACCCAGTTCTAGTCACTGAGATACAAAAAAGATACTGAGGCCCTAGAAAGAGTGCAAAGAGAAACAATAAAGAAATATAAGGGGTATGGAAGTTAAAACATATGATGAACAGTTAAGGGTACTAGATAGGTCTAGCCTAACAAAGGGAAGGATTAAGGGTGACATGACTGTTGTCTTCTGGTACTTGAGAGGGGCTTGATTTATTCATGTGCCAGATATGGGAGTGCCAAGGAATATTTAATAAGGGGGTCTAAATATATCCATTGGGCCCAAAATACTACATAGCCAGTTTTATGCTACTCCCCATGTGTTTAATTTACTTTGGTCTTGACATCCATGTCACAAGACCTCTAATAGCAGAGCACATATGCTTTTTAATTCTTTTTAAAAGTAATAAAAACTATTATTCAACAAATGAAAATTTTCTGGTAGAATTCTTCATGTGCTCTTAATGGTAGTCCATGTTTAATATAATGTGTATTAGGTCTAAAATTAACTGTTGAATGCTGCTTTTTGCAGCTGCCTTGTAATGTAGACTATCTACAAGAGCCATGGAGCGTAGTGGTTAGAATGCAGTACTGCAGGCTAACTCACTGCTCATTCCAGGAGTTCAATTCTGACCAGCTCAAGGTTGACTCAGCCTTCCATCCTTCCGAGGTCGGCAAAATGAGGACCCAGATTGTTGGGGGTAATATGAGGGCTGTAAAGCACTGTGAAGCAGTGTATAAGTCTAAGTGCTATTGCTATCTAGTAAGAGTCTAGCTATGCTATCTAGCTAGTAAAGAATGCTAAGGTTAATTTGTGCCAAATCTTTCATTCCACTCTAGGCAAATTTATGCTGAAAAGCCCATTCATGCTATAATCAGAAAACAAGTTCCCTAACTGTATGTAAATCATTCTCTATTTTGACTGTTAGCTATATGGCATTGGTTTTGTCTGTCAGTGCCAATTATTTCATAGAAAATGACAGATTTTTAAAGAGAAAAACAGCAGCACAAAAAAAGCACATTCCATAACCATACAGGATCTTTAACATAATCTGTGGCTTGAAGGGCATTCTAATAGAAAAAGCTATATGTGGCTCGGGGTCAAAACTGTGAAGTCCTTGGCGTTCTCTGCGTTTGGTTGTTTGCTTGCAGGCATTTTATTATTTGACTAAGTAATGCCAGTGCTTTGATGATGTTTTGAAGGAATTAAGCAACAGTTTATGTAGGAATGATTTTCTTGTTTATTCAATAAAATAGGCTATATTTTTTTTAAATAAATATTGCCTTTAATACCTCAGATTATATTATTAGATCATCATAATCTAGGATACGTCTGTTAAAACATTCTTGTCTGGATTCATTCAGCACTTTATGTTGATATATAAACAAAATCCCAAGTATTGCAATATGAAAATGAATAGGTTTTGTAGCAGTGTCCTTCCTTTGGCATTCTTCCTTCTTCAGTATCCAGTTCAGTTTTGTTTTCTTCTAGAGCAGTGTTTCCCAAACTTGACAATTTTAAGGCATGTGGACTTCAATTCCCAGAATTCCACAGCCAGCGTTGCTGGCTGTGGAATTCTGGGAGTTGAAGTCCTCATGCATTAAAATTGTCAAGTTTGGGAAACACTGTTCCAGAGCAGGGGCCTGGAGGATGACTTAT